TTGTGGATTGGGAAGGATATTTGGGATAAAACCCCTCCAAAATCCTCCCAGATCCAGGAAATCCCACCCGGGTCACCCCCCCCGGTCCATCAGGAGTTGTGGTTGGGGAGGGGATTTGGGGTTAAAAGTGGGATAAAACGTCGCCAAAATCCTCCCAAATCCATGAAATCCCACAAAAATCCCCCCTTTTCCCTCAGGAATTGTGGATTGGGAAGGATATTTGGGATAAAACCCCTCCAAAATCCTCCCAAATCCAGGAAATCCCACAAAAATCCCCCCTTTTCCCTCAGGAATTGTGGATTGGGAAGGATATTTGGGATAAAAGTTGGATAAAACGTCTCCAAAATCCTCCCAAATCCTTGAAATCCCACAAAAATCCCCCCTTTTCCCTCAGGAATTGTGGATTGGGAAGGATATTTGGGATAAAAGTGGGATAAAACCTCTCCAAAATCCTCCTAAATCCAGGAAATCCTCCCCAAGTCCCCCCTGTTCCCTCAGGAATTGTGGATTGGGAAGGACATTTGGGATAAAAGTGGGATAAAACCCCTCCAAAATCCTCCCAAATCCATGAAATCCCCCTCAAAATTCCCTTTTTCCCTCAGGAATTGTGGATTGGGAAGGATATTTGGGATAAAACCTCTCCAAAATCCTCCCAAATCCATGAAATCCCCCAAAAATCCCCCTTTTCCCTCAGGAATTGTGGATTGGGAAGGATATTTGAGCTAAAATTTGGGATCAGAACATCCCAAAATCCTCCCAGATCCATGAAATCCCACAAAAATCCCCCCTTTTCCCTCAGGAATTGTGGATTGGGAAGGATATTTGGGATAAAAGTGGGATAAAACCCCTCCAAAATCCTCTCAAATCCAGGAAATCCCACAAAAAAGCCATTTTGTCCCTCAGGAATTGTGGATTGGGAAGGATATTTGGGATAAAACCTCTCCAAAATCCTCCCAGATCCACGAAATCCCCCAAAAATCCCCCCTTTTCCCTCAGGAATTGTGGATTGGGAAGGATATTTGGGATAAAATTGGGATCAGAACATCCCCAAATCCTCCCAGATCCACGAAATCCCCCAAAAATCCCCCCTTTTCCCTCAGGAATTGTGGATTGGGAAGGATATTTGGGCTAAAATTTGGGATCAGAACATCCCCAAATCCTCCCAGATCCAGGAAATCCCACAAAAATCTCCCTTTTCCCTCAGGAATTGTGGATTGGGAAGGATATTTGGGATAAAACCTCTCCAAAATCCTCTCAAATCCATAAAATCCATCCCCAAATCCACTTTGTCCCTCAGGAATTGTGGATTGGGAAGGATATTTGGGATAAAACCCCTCCAAAATCCTCCCAAATCCAGGAAATCCCCCAAAATTCCCTTTTTCCCTCAGGAATTGGGAAGGATATTTGGGGTTAAAAATCCAGGAATTGTTATCCCATTTTTCCACCGCGACCCTCAGGAAAAGTGGGGGGAGAATCCAACAACAAATCCCTCCAAATCCCGGAATTCCTGAGCTTGGAAAACCCCCTGAAGATTCCCAAAATCCCTTCCTCATTCCCAAGAGCCTCAATCTTACAGAATTCCTGGAATTTTTTAGTGGGGGGTTGGGAATTAATCACCCTAATCCCGTTTTTTCCCTGCTCTCGTTTTTCCTTAGGAAATCCTTCGGAATTCCGGGAAGGGCCAGAAAAACCTCTGGAATTTTCCCAATCCCGGATTTTTTTCCTCTCTCTCTCTTTCTGGAAAAGGAAAATGAGGATTCCTTGGATTTGCTTCCCCCCTTGGGGATGAAACAATTCCCGATTTTTCCCGGGAATTTCAGGTTTTATCCCTAAAAAAACACAACAACACTTGGATAAATAAATAAAGAAATAAATTAATTCATTAATTAATTAATTCCAACTTCCTTTGGAACCTCGGGATGGGCTGGAATGGGATCCTTAAAAAATAATCTGCTTTTTCCCTGTTTTTTTTAATAATTCCCACCTGAATCCTTCCCAAAATTCCTTTGGGAATCAGACAGGGTTCGGTTTTTTTATTCCCCAAAAAAATCCTGGAAAAAAATTAAATGTATTTAGCCCTAAAAATTAAGTGTATTTGTCCCTAAAATCTGAATTGTTTAGCCCTAAAATTGTGAATTATTTAGCCCTAAAATCTGAATAAATTTATCCCTAAAGTGTGAATTATTTAGCCCTAAAAATTGAAATTATTTATCCCTGAAATTCGAATTATTTATCCCTAAAATCTAAATTATTTCTTCCTAAAATCTAAATCTATTTTTCCATTAAAATTATATATATTTATCCCTAAAATCCACATTTTTTATCCCTAAAATCTAAATTATTTATCCCTAAAACCTGAATAAATTTATCCCTAAAAATTAAATATATTTCTCCCTAAAATCCACATTTTTTCTCCCTAAAATCTGAATTATTTATCCCTAAAATTCAACATATTAATCCCTAAAAATGAAATATATTTCTCCCTAAAATCTAAATTATTTCTCCCTAAAATCTGAATTATTTACCCCTAAAAATTAAATATATTTCTCCCTAAAATCTAAATTATTTATCCCTAAAATCTAAATTATTTCTCCCTAAAATCTAAATTATTTACCCCTAAAAATTAAATATATTTATCCCTAAAATCCACATTTTTTATCCCTAAAATCTGAATAAATTTACCCCTAAAAATTAAATTTATTTATCCCTAAAATCTCCATTTTTCTCCCTAAAATCCAAATTATTTCTCCCTTCCCTCCCTCTTTTCCCTTCACCTCCCGGGCCCCAAAATCCACTTTTTTTGTTGTTTTTTTCCCTCTTTTATTTTTTTTTTTCTTTTCCATCCAACTGGAATTTTTCCAGGCCTTTCATCCGTAAATGCCTCGTTCCAAGGGCAGCTCCCACATTCCAAGCTTTTTGTTTTCCTTGGATTCCGGCCAGGGATTGGTTTGGTTTGGAGTTTATTTTTAATTTTTAAGGTGGTTTTTTTTCTCCTTCTCCTTGAAAATCTTTTACCCCCTGAAAGGGAAATTTTTTCTGCCCAAAATTCAAATTATTTGTCCCTAAAATTAAAATTATTTGTCCCTGAAATTGAAATTATTTATCCCCAAAATCCAAATTATTTATCCCTGAAATTGAATTTATTTCTCCCCAAAATCTAAAATTATTTCTCCCCAAAATTAAAATTATTTATCCCCAAAATCCAAATTATTTATCCCTAAAAATCCAAATTATTTATCCCTCAAATCTCAAATTATTTATTCCTAAAATTAAAATTATATCTCCCCAAAATTAAAATTATTTATCCCTAAAATCCAAATTATTTCTTCCCAAAAATCTAAATTATTTCTCCCTAAAATTAAAATTATTTCTCCCTGAAATTGAAATTATTTATCCCTAAAATCCAAATTATTTGTCCCTAAAATCCAAATTATTTCTCCCCAAATCCACACAAATCCCAACTTGCCAATTCCCCAATTCCCACCTTTTTAATCCCAGAATTCCCAACCCCATCCCAACAAATCCCAACCTGGGAAAACAAAAAAAAAACCACAAAAATTCCCAAGAAATTCCAATTTTATTTATTTATTTATTTTTGGGAAAGGGAATTTCTTTTCCAACCCACACCAAGAATTCCCAAAAAAATTCCCAAAAAAACCCCGGGAATGAGCCAGGAAAAATTCCAGGAATGGGATTTAAGGAGGGAAAAAAAAAATCCATCAAATTCCCAGGAAATCTCCCAAAATTCCAGAAAATGCTGGAAAATCCCAAATATTGACGGAAAATGTTGGAAAATCCCAAATATTGAGGGAAAATGATGGAAAATCCCAGATTTTGGCTGGAAATTCCTGATTCCAATGGAAAATTCCCTCAGGATTCCAGCCTGGAATTCCCAGTCCTGATGGGAAATGATGGAAAATTCCAGAAAATGCTGGAAAATCCCAAATATTGGTGGATCCTGACCTGGAAATTCCCAGTTCTGGTGGAAAATGATGGGAATTTTGGCTGGAAATTCCTGATTCCAATGGAAAATTCCCTCAGAATTCCAGCCTGGAATTCCCAGTCCTGATGGGAAATGATGGAAAATTCCAGAAGATGCTGGAAAATGCTGGAAAATCCCAAATATTGATGGAAAATGATGGGAAATCCCAGATTTTGGCTGGAAATTCCTGATTCCAATGGAAAATTCCCTCTGGATTCCAGCCTGGAATTCCCAGTCCTGATGGGAAATGATGGAAAATTCCAGAAAATGCTGGAAAATCCCAAATATTGGTGGATTTTGGGCCAGAAATTCCAGGTCCTGATGGAAAATGATGGGAATTTTGGCTGGAAATTCCTGATCCCAATGGAAAATTCCCTCAGGATTCCAACCTGGAATTCCCAATCCTGATGGAAAATGCTGGAAAATTCCAGAAGATGCTGGAAAATCCCAAATATTGGTGGAAAATGCTGGAAAATCCCAAATATTGAGGGAAAATCCCAGATTTTGGCTGGAAATTCCTGATCCCAATGGAAAATTCCCTCAGGATTCCAGCCTGGAATTCCCAGTCTTGATGGAAAATGATGGAAAATTCTGGAAAATGCTGGAAAATCCCAAATATTGACGGAAAATGCTGGAAAATCCCAAATATTGGTGGATCCTGGCCTGGGAAATTCCCAATCCTGGTGGAAAATGATGGAAAATCCCAGATTTTGGCTGGAAATTCCTGATCCCAATGGAAAATTCCCTCAGGATTCCAACCTGGAATTCCCAGTCCTGATGGAAAATGATGGAAAATTCCAGAAGATGCTGGAAAATCTCAAATATTGGTGGAAAATGATGGGAATTTTGGGATCCATCCTCTCCAGGACAACAATCCCAAGGGTTTGGGGGGGGAGGGGGAGGGGGTTTCTCAATCCTGCTCTTCCCAGGCTGGGAATTCTGGGAATGCTGGGAATTCTGGGAGTTCTGGGAATGCCGGGAATGCCGGGAATTTCCAGGAATTGTGGGAATTGTGGGGTCAGGAGGTGAAGTAGGAGCTGTGCATGGAATAGAGGCGGTCGATGGGATTGTTCCCAAGGGCGGGATCGGCTCCAGATCCCAGGAATTCCGCCAGGCCGGAGCCCTCCAGATCCTGGAAAATTCCTGCCGGGGCTGGGAAAAACGGGAATGGGGAAAAGGAGGGAAGGGGAGGTCGGGTGGAGGCTCTGGAATATTCCCAGGGGATGGGGAATTCCCAAACCTTCCCTTCCCTTCCCTTCCCTTCCCTTCCCTTCCCTTCCCTTCCCTTCCCTTCCCAAACCTTCCCTTCCCTTCCTTCCTTCCCAAACCTTCCCTTCCCTTCCTTCCTTCCTTCCTTCCCTTCCCTTCCTTCCCTTCCCTTCCCTTCCCTTCCCTTCCCTTCCCTTCCTTCCTTCCTTCCCAAACTTTCCTTCCCAAACCTTCCCTTCCCAAACCTTCCCTTCCTTCCTTCCCTTCCCTTCCCTTCCTTCCTTCCCTTCCCTTCCCTTCCTTCCTTCCTTCCCTTCCCAAACCTTCCCAAACCTTCCTCCCCTCCCCTCCTCCATCCCCAACCTTCCCAAACCTTCCCTTCCTTCCCTTCCCTTCCCTTCCTTCCTTCCTTCCCAAACCTTCCTTCCCAAACCTTCCCTTCCCTTCCCAAACCTTCCCTTCCCTTCCCTTCCCTTCCCTTCCCAAACCTTCCCTTCCCAAACCTTCCCTTCCCTTCCCTTCCCAAACCTTCCCTTCCCAAACCTTCCCAAACCTTCCCAAACCTTCCCAAACCTTCCCAAACCTTCCCAAACCTTCCCTTCCCAAATCTTCCCTTCCCTTCCCTTCCCTTCCCAAACCTTCCCTTCCCAAACCTTCCCTTCCCTTCCCTTCCCTTCCCTTCCCTTCCCTTCCCTTCCCAAACCTTCCCAAACCTTCCCAAACCTTCCCTTCCCTTCCCAAACCTTCCCTTCCCTTCCCAAACCTTCCCTTCCCTTCCCAAACCTTCCCTTCCCAAACCTTCCCTTCCCTTCCCATATCCCATTAGATCCTGTATCCCAGTGTATCCCAGTGTATCCCAGTTTATCCCAGTGTATCCCAGTGTATCCATATCCCAGTTTATCCCAGTGTATCCCAGTATATCCCAGTACATCCCAGTATATCCCAATGTATCCCAGTGTATCCCACTATATCCCATATCCCAGTATATCCCAGTGTATCCCAGCATATCCCAGCGTATCCCAGTGTATCCCAGTGTATCCCAGTCTATCCCAGTTTATCCCAGTCTATCCCAGTCTATCCCAGTTTATCCCAGTGTATCCCAGTGCATCCCATATCCCAGTATATCCCAGTTTATCCCAGTGTATCCCAGTATATCCCATATCCCAGTGTATCCCATATCCCCATGCATCCCAGTTTATCCCAGTGTATCCCAATGTATCCCAGTCTATCCCAGCATATCCCAGTTTATCCCAATGTATCCCAGTCTATCCCAGTGTATCCCAGTGTATCCCAGTGTATCCCAATGTATCCCAGTGCATCCCAGTATATCCCAATGTATCCCATATCCCAGTGTATCCCAGTATATCCCAGTGTATCCCCGTGTATCCCAGTTTATCCTAGTTTATCCCAGTGTATCCCAGTGTATCCCAGTTTATCCCAGTGTATCCCAGTTCATCCCAGCATATCCCAGTCTATCCCAGTTTATCCCAATGTATCCCAGTCTATCCCAATGTATCCCAGTTTATCCCAGTGTATCCCAGTCTATCCCAGTGTCTCCCAGTTTCCCGCAGTGTGTCCGGGCGTTACCGTAGTGGTTGTGCTGCTGGGTGGTTCCCATTCCCATCATTCCCATCGTTCCCATCATTCCCATCGTTCCCATTCCGGGTGGGAATTGCTGCTCCAGGGCCGGGCAGGGCGGAAACGGCGCCAGGAGCCCCTCCAGGCCCCCCACGCTCGGCGCCTCTGCCGGCAGTGACGTCACCGTCGGTATGTCGCGATAGTGATGTCGCGATAGTGATGTCACGATAGTGATGTCACCATAGTGATGTCACCATGGTGATGTCGCGATGGTGATGTCACAATAGCGATGTCATGATAGTGATGTCACAATGATGATGTCGCGATAGTGATGTCACCATAGCGGTGTCACCATGGTTATGTCACAATAGTGATGTCACGATAGCGGTGTCACCACGGTTATGTCACCATAGTGATGTCACGATAGCGGTGTCACCACGGTTATGTCACGATAGTGATGTCACAATAGTGATGTTGTGATAGTGACGTCACAATAGCGGTGTCACCACGGTTATGTCACGATAGTGATGTCACCATAGCGGTGTCACCATGATTACGTCACAGTAGTGATGTCACGATAGCGGTGTCACCACGGTTATGTCACAATAGTGATGTCACAATAGTGATGTCGTGATAGTGATGTCACGATAGCGGTGTCACCATGGTTATGTCACGATAGTGATGTCACAATAGTGATGTCACCATAGCAGTGTCACCACGGTTATGTCATGATAGTGATGTCACAATTGTGATGTCGCGATAGTGAGGTCATGATAGCGGTGTCACCATGGTTATGTCACAATAGTGATGTCGCGATAGTGATGTCACCATAGCGGTGTCACCATGATTATGTCACGATGGTGATGTCACGATAGTGATGTCACCATAGCGGTGTCACCATGATTACGTCACAATAGTGATGTCACGATAGTGGTGTCGCGATAGTGAGGTCACCATAGTGGTGTCATAATGGTTACGTCACAACTGTGATGTCACGATGGTGACGTCACCATAGCGGTGTCACAATGGTTATGTCACGACAGTGATGTCACAACAGGGGTGTCACGACAGTGATGTCACAATAGTGATGTTGTGATAGTGACGTCACAATAGCGGTGTCACCATGGTTACGTCACAATAGTGATGTCACGATAGCGGTGTCACCATGATTACGTCACGATAGTGATGTCACAATAGCGGTGTCACCACGGTTATGTCACGATAGTGATGTCACGATAGTGATGTCACGATAGTGATGTCACCATAGCGGTGTCACCACGGTTATGTCATGATAGTGATGTCACGATGGTGACATCCCGATAGTGGTGTCACCATGGTTATGTCACAATAGTGGGGTGACAATGGTGATGTCACGATAGTGAAGTCATGATAGCAGTGTCACCATGGTTACGTCACGACAGTGATGTCACAATAGTGATGTCACCATAGCGGTGTCACCACGGTTATGTCACAATAGTGATGTCACAATAGTGATGTCGTGATAGTGATGTCACGATAGCATGGTTACGTCACAATAGTGATGTCACAACAGGGGTGTCGTGATAGTGATGTCACAATGGTGATGTCACGATAGTGGGGTGACAATGGTGATGTCACGATAGTGACATCACCATAGTGGTGTGACAATGGTGACATCACAATAGTGAAGTCACGATAGCGGTGTCACCATGGTTACGTCACGACAGTGATGTCACAATAGTGATGTCACAATAGTGAAGTCACGATAGCGGTGTCACCATGGTTACGTCACAATAGTGATGTCAAGATGGTGACGTCACGATAGTGATGTCACCATAGCGGTGTCACCATGGTTATGTCACGATAGTGATGTCACAATAGCGATGTCATGATAGCAGTGTCACCACGGTTATGTCACGATAGTGATGTCACAATAGTGATGTCGCGATAGTGATGTCACAACAGGGGTGTCACAATAGTGATGTCACAACAGGGGTGTCGTGATAGTGATGTCACAATGGTGATGTCACAATAATGATGTCACAATAGTGGTGTGACAATGGTGATGTCACAATAGTGATGTCACAATAGGGGTGTTGTGACAGTGACGTCACAATGGTGATGTCACGATAGTGACGTCACAATGGTGATGTCACAGTGGTGATGTCACGATAGTGGTGTGACAATGGTGATGTCACGATAGAGATGTCGATGGATCCCCCCAATCCATGGAATGTGTCCCTGCCCTTGGAATGTGGGAAGGAATCCTTGGCTGGGAAGGGATTTGGGCTGGAATTCCCAGAGAAAACCATGGAATTCCCACCCCTGGAAGCACCCAAGACCGAGTTGGATCCCCCCCAATCCATGGAATGTCTCCCTACCCTTGGAATGTTGTGGGACACCAGAATTCCCAACCTTTCCCCTCCCCCCCCCCATTCCCTGAATCTCTCCCAAACCCCATCCCGGGATTTTCCACCCCAAATTCCCGGTTTTTTTTCCCCCCTCTCACCTTCATTGTCGTCATCACCGCTCCGGCCGCTCCCTCTCCCGCTTCCCAGCCCGGAATTCCCACCCTGCTCCCGCTTTTCCTGCTCTTCCTGCTGCTGTTGTTGTTGTTGTTGCTGTTGTTGCTGTTGTTGCCTCCGGGCGATTTTCTTCATCTACAGGGGGAAAAAAAACCCCAAAACACCGGGAATTTGGAACCCCTTTTTTGGGGGTGAAATCCCGGGAATTTTGGGGGGAAATTGGGAATTTTGGGGGGAAATAATTGGGAATTTTGGGAAGGGGGGCCTCACCTTGGCCCGCTGGTTCTGGAACCAAACCTGCACCACCCGCACCGTCAGCCCCGTCTCGGCCGCCAGCGACTCCCGAACCTGATCCCGGGGGAAAAGGAGGGGAAAATGGGAGAGGTTGGGATCGAATCCCAACGGGAAGGAGACCAGAGGGGGGTTGGGATCCTAAAAGAGCTCGGTTGGGATTGAATCCCACCGGGAATGAGCCCTGAGGGGGGTTGGGCTCCTAAAAAAGAGCTGAGTTGGGATTGAATCCCACCAGGAATGATCCTATTTGGGATCAAATTTGGGATCAAATCCCGCTGGGAATGATCCCAAATGGGGGTTGGGCTCCTAAAAGAGCTGAGTTGGGATCAAATCCCGCTGGGAATGATCCCAAATGGGGGTTGGGCTCCCAAAAAAGAGCTGAGTTGGGATTGAATCCCACCAGGAATGATCCTATTTGGGATCAAATTTGGGATCAAATCCCACTGGGAATGAGCCCAAAGGGGGGTTGGGTTCCCAAAAAAACTCAGTTTGGGATCAAATCCCTCTGGGAATGAGTCCAAAGGGGGGTTGGGCTCCTAAAAGAGCTCAATTTGGGATTGAATCCCACCGGGAATGATCCCAAATGGGGGTTGGGCTCCAAAAAGAGCTCGGTTGGGATTGAATCCCATCAGGAATGAGCCCTGATGGGGTTTGGGCTCCTAAAAGAGCTCAGTTGGGATTGAATCCCATCAGGAATGATCCCAAATGGGGGTTGGGCTCCTAAAAGAGCTCAGTTTGGGATCAAATCCCATCAGGAATGAGCCCTGATGGGGTTTGGGCTCCTAAAAGAGCTCAGTTGGGATTGAATCCCACCAGGAATGATCCCATTGAGCTCCTAAAAGAGCTGAGTTTGGGATCAAATCCCACCAGGAATGAGTCCAAAGGGGGGTTGGGCTCCCAAAAAAGAGCTGAGTTGGGATTGAATCCCACCAGGAATGATCCCATTTGGGATCAAATTTGGGATCAAATCCCGCTGGGAATGATCCCAAATGGGGGTTGGGCTCCCAAAAGAGCTCAGTTTGGGATCAAATCCCACCAGGAATGATCCCAAAGGGGGGTTGGGCTCCTAAAAGAGTTCAGTTGGGATTGAATCCCACCAGGAATGATCCCATTTGGGATCAAATTTGGGATCAAATCCCACTGGGAATGATCCCAAAGGGGGGTTGGGCTCCTAAAAGAGCTCGGTTGGGATTGAATCCCATCAGGAATGATCCCATTGAGCTCCTAAAAGAGCTCGATTTGGGATCAAATCCCACTGGGAATGATCCCAAATGGGGGTTGGGCTCTCAAAAAGAGCTGAGTTGGGATTGAATCCCATCAGGAATGATCCCATTTGGGATCAAATTTGGGATCAAATCCCACTGGGAATGATCCCAAATGGGGGTTGGGCTCCCAAAACGAGCTCGGTTGGGATTGAATCCCATCAGGAATGATCCCATTTGGGATCAAATTTGGGATCAAATCCCGCTGGGAATGATCCCAAATGGGGGTTGGGCTCCCAAAAAAGAGCTGAGTTGGGATTGAATCCCACCAGGAATGATCCCAAAAGGGGTTGGGCTCCTAAAAGAGCTGAGTTGGGATTGAATCCCATCAGGAATGATCCCAAATGGGGGTTGGACTCCCAAAAAAGAGCTCGGTTGGGATTGAATCCCACCAGGAATGATCCTATTTGGGATCAAATTTGGGATCAAATCCCGCTGGGAATGATCCCAAATGGGGGTTGGGCTCCCAAAAGAGCTCAGTTTGGGATCAAATCCCATCAGGAATGATCCCAAATGGGAGTTGGGCTCCTAAAAGAGCTGAGTTGGGATTGAATCCCATCAGGAATGATCCCATTGAACTCCTAAAAGAGCTCAGTTTGGGATTGAATCCCACCGGGAATGAGCCCAAAGAGGGGTTGGGCTTCAAAAGAGTTC